TCCCCGCAGCCCCGGGCCGCGCGGCCGCCGAGCTGAGCTCCGTCCGGGAAGCGGCCGTGGAGCCCCGGAGGGCACTGAATGGAGGACAAGTCCCCGGGGCTGGGGGGCCCTCAGGCCAATCAGGAGCGCCTCTCCAGATACAAAGCATCCCAATCAGGCGGCGGCGCCCCGTTCCCACATTCTTTGCCGTCACAAATTGTCGCCATGGGGACCATCACAAAAAAAGACAGCTCCCAAATGCAATCATTTCCCGGTAAATTTCTACCCTTCAAGCCCCGCGCTCCCCGCGCCCCCCCACCTCGGCCCCCGGGCCCCTCCTCCCCTTGACCTCGGTTCCCTGGTTTCTCGAGGGGCCGGTGTGCACGTGCGTGTGCCGGTGTGCGTGTGCGCGCGTGTTCAACGTGTCCAGGACCGAGGAGGGGCCGGGCCCGGCCCACAGGGGCTTGCAAACTTCTCCCCAAGACGGCCCAGCCTGCAGCGCCATGCTCCAGTGCAGACGGACAATCGGACGGGTGAGCCGGGCGGGCTGCTCCGTCCTGAGCGCGGAACGCCTCTGTCCCCTCTTCTGCTGTCTGTCTGCCCTTCTCTCCCCCTTTCACTCCATCAGGCCCCGAAGGGCCGGCGCTGGGAGCCACTCCGGTGGCGGCAAGGTGGCCGCGGCAGGGCTGCCTTAACAAGGGCCTGGCATATCCATGGGAAGGGAGCCGGAGCTCTCTGGAATCTTGTCTTTATGTTTGCTTCCTCAATTGAGCTGCACAAAGCCTGAATTGCCCATTCAGCGCGGCGGGACAAAAGGTTGGCGTTGCACGGTCCCCTTGCATTTGTAGTCAAACAGTTAGGGACTTAAATCGAGTCGTCATGATGGAGAAAGAGGTGGACAAAGCCCATAGAATTGCCATCAGCAAACATTTTCCTGTGTCATATTAGCCAGTCTCCATGGCTCCCCCTGGCCTGGGGACAATGGCACAAGTTTGCACACTTGGGTACTGTCACCGTGCCAACGCCGGCAGGGCCGCAAGCAGGGCCCGCTCTGAGCGAGCCCCGGGCCTGGAGCAGGCTGCTGGGCCTGCCCACTGACGGCCCAGAGGGAAGGTGAGGCCAAGGCGGAGGCTAGCCTGGGAAACAGTGGTGGGCAGGGCCGCCAGGCCAGCGGTCCAGGAGAGGGGCTTGCAGCCTTCCTTCCTGACATCTTATCCCTCTCTTTTCTCGTCCTCTCCCTGCCTGCTTTCCTCTGGCACCTTCCAATCTCTTCTAGTTCCTCTGGACAGCCCACTGACAGGCCACCTACCTACCTACTCACACATCTGTTTACCCAACCTTCCCAGAGATGTTAGAAGCAAGGGGTGGCCCTCAGAAAGTATGACAGGCAGACAGGAGGCCTGGGGAGGTAGAGCTGGGCTCTCCTGGGCTGATGGGTTTTTTTCTCCTGCCCAAGCTGCCCTTGCTGGCCTCAGCATTCCCACAGCCAAGATGAAGAGTTTAAGATGTCCCAGTCTCAACAAGCTGTGACTCAGGTGACATTTAGGTGTGGAGGAACTGGTTATAACATCTTTGCCAGGCACCTGGCCCTGCCACAAAGTGGGGATGATGAAGACTTGAGGGGTAGGTGCTTCAGACCAGAGCAGCCTGGACACTGGTTTCACCTCCCCTGGAGAGATGCACATCCCTGCAGCAAACACCAGACTCTCTCTGTTTCAGACTAGGGGCTGTTTGTTTCTAAAGCAGCACCCAGCCCACCCTGACGTCCGAGCAGGACACTGCCTTCCTATTCCAAACCAGCCTGCACAGACTGCTGGAGACGCCACTCGGGTGCACTCTGGTCACTTAATAGGAACTCAGGAAAGCAACGCCACGTGGTGGGACCATCACTGGTTTCCACACAGACTTGGGTCCAAGTTCCAGTCCTGCCTGTTGGTTGCTGTGAGTCCCTGGGAAAAGGGCTTAGCCTCAGTTTTCCTCATCTGAGAGCAGCCCCTCTTACAGAGTTAGCCCAGCATGGGATAAAACTTCCATGATGATAATGGTGGCACTTGGCACATAGTAGGCACCAAACAAGTGTTTGTTTCCTCCATTCCATTTGTCTTTCCTCTTCCCCCCTTCCTCTCTTTGAACCCCATTTCCTTTCTTCTTCCCCCCCTTCTCTCTTTTAAAGCTCGTGATAGAAGAGTTTATGTAAAGAGACAAGGTGAAACTTTTTAAGAGAGATGGCTGCAACTTCCACGGACCTTTCCAATCTGCTCTGAGAGTTGTTAGGTGCCATCAAGTCCACTATAACTTGGGACAACTCCCTGAGCGATGGGGTCTTAATCTTGCCCCAGCCTGTGGCATCCTCTTCATCTCTTGATATATTTGGGCCCATTGTTAATCCAGCTTGTTGAAGGCCTTGCTCTCTTTGGTTGAGCCTCCACCTTTCCAAGCATGGTGTCCTTTTCAAAGGGTCAGCCCCGCCTAACAGCACGCCCTCAGTATGTGAGATGAAGTGTCACGATCTTTGCCTCCAAGAAGCACCCTGGTTGCACTTTCTCCAAGGTAGACTGTTCTTTTGTAGTCTTCAGTGCTCTTCTCCAACACCACAGCGCAAAGGCATATATTCCTTTTCTGGCATCTTTATTCATTGTCCAACTTTTAGATGCATGTTGTTGTTGTTATGTGCCATCGAGTTGCCTGCGACTCATAACAATCTTATGTACAAGAGCCCTAAAGCCTGCTCTATCCTGTACTAGCCTTACTGTCTCTGACACACCTAACCCCATTACCCCAGTCACTGAATCAATTCATCTCATCCAGGGCCTTCCTCTCCTGTGCTGTCCCTCTACCCTCCCAAGCATGACATCCCTCTCTAAGGACTGGCCCCTCCTTGCAACATGTCCAAAGTATGTCAGACGAAGCTTCAGAATCCTTACCTCCAAGGAGCAACCTGGCTTCACCATCTCCAGGACAAGTCTGTTCATTTTGCTAGCAGTCCATGGTATCCTCAATACTCTTCCCTAACACCACAGCTCAAAGGCATCAATTCTCCTTCTATTATCCAACTCTCTGATGTATAACAAGTGATTGCAAAGACCTTGGCTTGTATCAGATGCACCTTAGTTTCCAGACTGACATAGCAGGTAATTAAAAAACCATAAAAAGCCATAGCAAATATGTTGTAGGGATGTATATCCTGAACAGATGAGGCCAATAAAGGGGAAGTGATTGCAGTTAAAATGAAGTTCAGGGAAGTCTCTGATTCCCACGTTGGGAGCTTTGAAGGGAAAGGAGAAGAGGTCCCAGAGAGGGGTCGTGTGGACAGCCCCAGTGAAGGGCCCAGGATGGGTGCATGGGGCTAACTCCCACTGGTCTCAGCCAGCCTCCCAGCAGAGATTAAAAGGGCTGTTTCAGTTGGGCTGAGATTCAATGGTTAAGCCAGGACGGTGGCATCAGGGAGCCACCACCAGGTAGGAACTCAGTAAGTGCTGCCACTAGGTTTGAGGACTATGCGGATCAGATTTCCGATGTATGTTCCCCGTTCGACTCTTCTGTTCCACCATCAGAATTTGACTCTGAACTTCTGACTCAGGACTGGAGCAGCCGCAGCAAGGGAGAGGAGACAGTTGTGTCTTGGCAGATGGTGGACAGGGACTGGTCTTGTATTGACCTGGCCTCTTGGGGATGCCTGCTGGGTCACATGGACAGATAATGAAGACCCCTCACTCCACAGAGCCCCTTGACAGTCTTCTCTCATTATGATCTTCTGTCTGGAATCTTGGTGCGTCCAAACCATCAGCCTTAATGTTAACAGGTGAATGCTCAACTGCTACCCTGCCAAGCCAGCATAGTGCACAAGGCCCCTTGTAAATTGACCCCTACTCATAGCTCAATTCTTTGGTGCAGTGACTTACTCACGGGTAAGCCTCAAACCTCTACTTCTTGATTCCAACTCAGGGCTGCTCAGCTAACCCTGTCCTCTTGGTATTCCTCAAGGTCCACCTCAAGCATCCTTTCTCCAGGATGACTTCCACCAACATTATTTACAATACCCTTTCCTGCCTCTATGTTGATAGAGTCAAAGATGAAGTCTAACCTCTTCAGCTCCGAGCTTGAACTCCAAACCCATGACTGTCAAGTTTATTTTGATGCAGCATGACCCCAGGCGATAGAGTAGAACTGTCCTACAGGGTTGCCAACCAACAGCTGTAAGCCGTCATGGAAGCAGACAGTGAGATCGTGAGATCACAGAGCAGCTGGTGGGTCCAAACTATCAGCCTCAACATTAACAGCCGAACACTAAAGCGCTACCCTGCCAAGCCAGCTTGGTGCACAAGGCCCCTTGTAAATGGACCCCTACTCATATCTCTGTTCCTCATCTTTTCTGTTCTGACCAAGAAACATGTGTTTTGTTCTTGAAACAGCATGTGTATTTCATG